GCAGCCTCTCAGCCACCCTAATAGCTTAATTAAAGTTACCCTCACTTGCAGTTTGCCCATTTGCTTCAAGTTTCCAACGGCCTACTTGTGCCAATGTAAGCATTAAGAAAAAAGTTTACTATTTTTATTCATGCATTTTTATATACAGTTAGTTGCAAAAATACATAAATATTGTAAATTTGAAATATTACATAAAGAACGTTAATTCCAATAATCTTTTTTAATAAATTTTTCTTTTGGAATAATGAACGTTAGTCGAACTAGGACATATTTTAATAAAGTAATGTTGTTTATTAAATTTGTTAACAAGGTAAAAAAAAAAAATAATCTCTTTTTCACAGTTACAAAATGAAATTGTAAAAAAGTAGACTTAACAATATTAGATCGTAAGTAATCTCATTTTAAGAACTCAATTTTAATAAAAAGATAATAACAATTATATTTGTTTTTATTTTTTTATTTATATTTTTTATTATTTATATTTTTCAAACTTTTAAAAGGATATTTTATCTTTTTATTTAAAATACTATTTTAAATGTTGATTTCCATTTTTAAAAAATTTTTTATTTAAAAAGTTTTGGCGATGAATAAAATAGATATTAATTGATGTTAAATTGGAAAAAATATAAAAGATGAGTGATATGATATAATTAAATTATTTATTATATCATATCTGATTATATATATAACTAATTAAATTATTTATTCTTTTCTATCATATATATTTAGATATTGTTGTTAATTATTAAAATCACTTGTGTTACATATTTATTATAAATTTTTATTAATAGATTTATTAATAGACTATAACAATTTAATTTTATATTTCTTTAACATTTCTTTAACATTTATAACAATATATATAACCGTTTTAATATTGATAAAATTTACTTTATCTGATTTAATTTCAACTTGGGTTTTTTTACAAAAACTTTTTTTTAAAATTTCTTATCAATACATTGATATTTTTTTATCTGATTGCTTAAATGATTAATGATTAATGATTAATTAAATTATAATGTTGATCATATTAATTGATTAATTATAATTTATAGTATTTATTATTATATATAATATATAATATAAAATAAAATAAATAATTAATTATAATTCAAAGTTTCATTTGCAATTTATCAATTAATTATATACAGTGAAATTAAATATATATATTTTTTTATATAAATATATATATATATAATTAAATTAAATTAATATTACATTTATAGTAATATATTTATGTTTTAAATCTTTTATATATATATATATTTTACTTTATCTTCACTCTTTATGTGTTAACTCTATTCTATCTAATAACATTACTAGTTTGAACTATAAGCATCATTATCAAAAGAAACATGTTTCAGTATAACAACTATAAATAACGAAGTATTATCCATCGTAGACATGTTCAATAGTTGGTTCAAATATCATATCATTGCCTCGAGGTTCCAGTTACTCCTACTATTACATATTACCATCTCGATGTAATAATTTGCGGATAAAGAGGAGTTCAACTTCATAAGAGGAGATACAGTCATTGTCGCCGATAAATGATGCATTTCCTTCGAATAAAACCCACAGCTGCATTTTCGAACAATATTGTTATTAAGCAAGAATAAAGAAGCGTAAATGCGACCGGGAAAACAACTCCCTACATAATTTACGTCCTTTTAAATATAATATCCATAATTACTAACAATATAATTTTTTTTTTTCAATCGGTCGGTATTTCGAGCGATATCGACAATATCGATCGAGCATCTTTTTGAAATTTGCAAGTGTTTCATCCTATGAATTTTGTATATTATACATTTTAATACTAATATAAAATTCTCTATAAAATCATATAACAATCATCATAACAATCTCTATAAAATCGATTTTATAATATCTGTTTAGAAGTACATTATCTAGAATATTTAGAATATCTAAATGTCATTACATGCAAAAATTGTATCGGTTTTTTTATATTTTTATAAATAACATTATTCTTTTTTATCATAATAGATTATAAAATTGATGTTACATAATAATTATGGATGTTGTAAAGTACATTTGAGAGTAAAATTCTTGAGAATTACTTTTGTCATTTTTCACTAATAGTGTTATTGAGAATTTTTAGAGAATAATTGTTATCTTTTTTACCTAATATTAGTCCTAAAAAACAGACATCCGACATCCAACATTTTAATATTTAACAAAGCTTTCATCTGTCGAGAGTAATATATTCGATTATTAACTAAGATATTAAATTAACAGTTAATTTTAACAGTTAATAGGTTATTAATAACACTAATAAAATTATATTATAATAATATAATGTAATAATAATGTAATATAATGTAATAATAAAAAAACTTGTAAATATTTTAAAAAATTTAAAAAATTATAAATAAAAACTTTAAAAAATTTTATATTAGAGAAATATTATCTAATATTTATATTTTAATAATCTCAATTATATTTTGATATATTTATTTTATCCCTTTGTTTTTCTTTTATCCACTTTCATTCTATCTCTTTTTGTTTTTTTATTTTTTTCCATCTTTTCTATTTCTATCACTTTCTCTCTTTCTATTTATCTTGTTTTATTCCACGCTTCTCTTTTTCCTCCTCTTTTTCTTCTCCTTCTGATAGTGATGACTGAACGCAATGGAACAGGAGGATTGGTTCCCAAGTTATTATTATTTAGCCGCAGATATACATTTGTCCTTTTAATGGACCGATATTTACTTCTACGCGTCTTCGCAATCTCGATATATACTCACACACGTGGATCCATTCGGAAATTATTTGGCTCTGCTGGTTCGAGAAACGAGCAAAGGAAAATTCTCGACAGGGCAACTGAATGCCGTACAAGTACCAAAACCGTCATCGAGCCGGTTTTATGCTTAAATAGAATTGCACTCTTTTCGATGACAAGTACGTACATTCCCGACCATAAGTTACCGAATACTTAACTATACTGCTCTTAGTAAAAATGTTCTATCTACAATATATATATACTAATGTATGATTGTAACCAGAAAATGATTCTATGTAAAAAAAATAAGTTAAAAATATGGAATAAAATTTAAAGCTTCGAGTTTGAAAAATTTTCATAAAGTTAGTTATTTATATAATAAATTTTTTG